GAAATTTAGCTCATTTCGGTTCAAATATGACGGAGACCATTTACTTTTTAAAATTAAGAGGTAAGAAATTAAAAAGAAAATTACAGTTTTTAAAAAGAAAATTCTACAAAATATTTTTGGAGATAGTTTCCACCGAGTGCCACTGTTATTAATGCTATGTTTAGGCAACGAGAAATGGAAAAATAAGAAAAGATTGTTACTGTTTCATTTTCTGTATTTATTTTTCCATATTATGTTTGGTTTTGGAAGAAAATTACAAAGGAAAAACAAATTTCTCACTCCATCTCCATCACTTTCTCTCCCATTGGAAGAGATTGCAAAAATTAAAGGCCCAAAAAAAAAATATTAAAATTTCCTTTCTCTCGAAAATTTCTTCTCTTTGTTCCAACCAAGGAAAAGTGAGATTTCCAAGGTATTTTTCACCTATCTATTTTTTTTTCCCCAAATATTACATTTGGTTGACGTGAAGAAGTGGAAGGTGTACGGCCAATTAAAAAAAAGGAAGAGTTGGGTTTACTTATCGGAGGAGATTTACTTGAATTGTAGCCATATATTATATATATATATATATATATATATATATAAACAGGACTGATACAGAAAGAGGTCAGATAATTATATAAACAGGACTGATACAGAAAGAGGTCAGATAATAACCAAACCCAAAAAGGATTCTCTGTTTACATATAAAACTGAAAACAGTGCACCTTTTGGCTTTTCCCATTGCCTTCTTTTACAGCACTGAGCTCTCTCCCTCTCTCTCTCTCTCCCTTACAAAACCATTACTTACAAGCAAACAAAACACATGGAGTGCAAAATGGAACAGAGATCTGATTTGATTCTTTTATTTATTCTCTCAATCAAAACTTATTTTTCTGTGTCATTGTAATACAGTTTACAGAGGGTTACTGCACGCGCTTTTCATGCTTCAAAGTTTTTTTTTTTAACCTCAAAAATTTTGGGCGACCTAAATCTGTGAGGTCTATTACAGTTTTAAAGTTACAAAGATTTACATTCTAAGCTCTTCACGTTATAAGAAACAATAAATTTTTATTTTAGGACTTTTATAAATAAAGTATTGATTGAATTTACGGTTAGTTGCACTTTCACAGCATAATTTTCATTCCTTAATTTGTTTAAAGATAGAGATTAAGGGCTCGTTTGGTTTAGCCGTTTATACTAATAAATTGATGATAATTAGTAGCAAGTAGATGACAACCGGGGTAGGTAGGTGATAATAATTAGCTGATGATATTGGTGTTTGAAAAATTTTGATAGCATTTATTGTTAAAATGTAAATACCTATTAAGTATGTAATTGTTTTTTTATACATTATGATGTATAATGTATTTTTTTTTATTCTTAAATTGAATATATTATTTTTTATTCTAACGTATTATATAAATACAATATTAATTATATTTTTAAATAATATTTAATAAAAAAATATTACTTTGAATAACTATAAATAAAAATATTAATCAGAAATTTTATTAGTAGTTATTTCTTTGAGGTTATAGGAGTTGAATATAAAATAATATTAAAAGCAACTAACAATTGATTCGAAAAAAACTTCAAAACGTAAAATTTTTATGAGTTATCAACTGCCAATTAAAATAAACAATTAGTACGAATCAGCTGAACCAAACAATCCGAAAGTAAATTTAATTTATCTGGATGCATTTTGTTTAAACTCTTCATCTGTGAAAAAGCATTAAGAGAGCAACGTTATCTTCATGAAACCAGCTACAACCTTCCCGTGGAGATGACTATTATTGCATTCACTGTCCGCAGACAATCTCACCTCGTCTCTTTCTTGTCACCATTTAAATGGAATATCTCTTGATAAAAATTTTCATTATGCCTGAGCATACCACATATGAGCAGAAGGTGGGAATATCTTCTTCCAATGTTTATAGGTTTTTCGTATGTCGAGACTCCTATGAATTCGTATATAAGTACGCCAAATATGGTTGAGATCATACTCCACAAAAGTGCTTATAAAGTTGCCAAATTGCATACTGTTCCGAGATGGATCTAATAGGCAACCTGTGGATTTGCACACAGAACTCTGCGAAATATAATTCAATATGGGTTAGCTCCTATTTATCATTCACCTTTTGCATAACCAGAAGATGATTATTGAAGGACCATGGTTTTTCATTCTAAACCTTATTTAAGTCTACCTTATGAAAAAAATGAAAGGGTAAATGTTAGACCCCATCTCAGTAACACAAATTCCTTTTCTAGGATACTTTAGATTTGTATTTTCATTATACCAAAATTCACTCTTCAATCTGTTAGTAAACATATGAAAACCAAATTTATATGTTTCTAATTCTTGTGCTTTTCAGTTAAAATTGAGTCACTGTTCAATTTCATTTTTGAATCCTCATCATTAGATAAAACTATAATCGTGAAGTTTGCCTCCATATCTTGATTCCCTAGACCTTCCTTTATAGATCACAGTCACACATGCCATGTTATCTGCAAGGCGAGACTTGTTCTGCATATCTGCTTGTTAAAAGAAATGTTCTTTGATTTCTCCTCATTGTGTTTTTTTATCTCATCTCTCTCGCACTTATCTTCCTTCAGTATAAATTAGTTTTCATCGTGATGCGATTGCACGTCGTCGTTGCTCATTTTTATACTCGTTGTTCATTTTTTTTAGCTTTTTAAATTTTTATCATATTAAAGCATAAATTTATATTGAGATTAATGCCAATACAATGGATAATCGATAAAATCAATATTACATTAGAATTAAAATATGTTAAAATTTTTAAAGCAACTAAAATTATCATCTTTGATGTTTGATAAAAAAAATATGATTTAAAATTTTATACAATTTTGTAATTTATTTCATGTCAAAAAAATTTATTATTTATTATTATTATCCACATAATTTATTATTTTGTGGATGAAAATTTTCCTTTTCATCTAAAAATGAAAATATGGAGAGAAATCTTCCATTTCTGACCTAATAATAATAATAATAATAATAATAATAATAATAATAACAATACACATAGATGGATAAGTTTGATACGTGGGGCGAAAAAAAGTCAAGTGGGGCCCACAAAACCTTCCTCCTTCTTCATGCTCACTTTCTATTATTAATTCTTTTTCTGTTTATAATTCATTAAATTAAATAAAAAAATCGTTTTGTGTTTTTTAAGTATAATAGTAAGTTGGTAAATGAAATGATTTTGTTTGGATTTAATTCCTGGCATCTCACATGCACAAATCTCCACAACAAAAGGAAAGGAAAATTTTCCTTCCCCCTAATAAATTTCCTTTCTCTTTTCCAAATTTTAATTCCACTAATTATTATTTTCTGTGCTTTCTCTTTTCTCCTTGCTTACAGCTGCAGCTCTGCTGTCCTTAGCAGTAATTGGCAAGGCCTGTTTTTTAACCTCACTCATTCATTATCTCCTTTCTAGATCTTGAAAAATCACCGTCCCCCAGTTTTATTTTATGTCAGTAAAGCTGACCACATTACTGAATCGAATTTGAGTTGATTCGTTCGTTTCGATTGAGTGCTCTTTTCGTCTCAAAGAGTTTAAAAATAGTTTTTTTAAAGTTAAAAAAGAGATTTGAATATAAATTTACTCATGCAGACAAGCGAGAAAGAATTCATGCCATCGTATCTCATCTTCGAAAGTGAAAAAAAGTATTTTATATAATTGATTTTCATTTTAATTGAAAAATTGAACTTCAAAATCTTTTTAGTTCAATTTTGTTATATTGAATTCAAAAATAATAATCTATCCAAAAATAACTAAAACCAAACTGGATCAAATACATTTGATTCGATTTGGTTTTGCACGCTATTCAATTTTGATTTCAGTTTGCATCTGATCAAATTTTAATCTTTTCCAATTATATTTGGTTTGGTTTGATTTAAATCGAAGGAGGAAATACTCACTCCTATAAGAAAATTTTATTATTTATTTGAAAAATAGCTTAATTCAAATCATCCATAATAGGGTACAGAAAATAAGTCCAACAAAACCTCCTGTAAATCACTTCTCCTCTCTCTAGGCCCCATTTCTGATCTCCAACTCAAAACTCCAAAACCTCTTTTTGTCTTTTTCTCCTCTCTCTCTCTCTCCCTCTCTTTGTTGTAGTTCTATTTATTCTTTTTCATTTTATAATATTTTTTTTTACTTTCCAATTCTATAAATCCATCGGTTTCTCACTTTCTCAATAAATTAAGCATTACCCATTTGCCAATTCTCTCAAAATTCATTACCTACCCATTTCTCTCTTGTTTCCTCCACCGCGTCCACCGTCCCCGCCGCCGCCACCACCAATTAAAGCCAAAACCGCCCAAATGAAAGAGTATTGGACTTCTTTAGCCTCTCTTCTTGGTGTATTGGCTTTCTTCCAGAGTCTTCTTCATGTTTTATTTCCTCCAGAGCTTCGTTTTGCCGCTCTAAAACTCTTTAACCGAATCTTTAGTACTTTCTCGTCTTATTGTTACTTTGATATAACAGAAATAGACGGCGTCAACACAAACGAGCTTTATAACGCCGTTCAACTTTATTTAAGCTCCTCTCTTTCAATCTCCGGTAGCCGGTTATCTCTGACCAGAGCTCTGAACTCGAGCGCCATTACTTTTGGGTTGACGAATAATGACTCCATTTTCGATACATTTAACGGCGTTACTGTTCATTGGGAGCATGTAGTAACTCAACGACAAGCGCAAACATTTTCATGGCGGCCATTACCAGAAGAGAAAAGAGGGTTTACACTTCGAATCAAGAAAAAGGACAAATCTTTGGTTCTTGATTCATATCTCGATTACATTATGGAAAAGGCAAATGATATTCGAAGAAGAAATCAGGATCGGTTATTGTATACAAATTCAAGAGGTGGGTCTTTGGATTCAAGAGGACATCCATGGGAATCTGTTCCTTTCAAGCATCCAAGTACTTTTGAGACTTTGGCTTTGGACCCATTGAAGAAAGAAGAAATTATGGAAGATTTGAAAGATTTTGCAAATGGGCAAGGTTTTTATCAAAAGACAGGAAGAGCATGGAAGAGAGGGTATTTGCTATATGGACCACCTGGTACTGGAAAATCAAGTATGATTGCTGCCATGGCTAATTTTCTTGGTTATGATATTTATGATCTTGAATTAACTGAAGTGCATACTAATTCTGAGCTTAGAAAACTTTTGATGAAAACTATTTCTAAATCTATAATTGTTATTGAGGATATTGATTGTTCTATTAATTTGAGTAACAGAAAGAAAATAAATAACAATAATGGTGGGTCCATGGGCAGAAGTTATTACGAGTCAGAATTAAGATCTGGTGGTGGTGGTGCTGGAGGTGGCGGTGCTGGTGGAGGTGAAGATGGTGGAAATTCAATAACTTTATCTGGGTTATTGAATTTTACTGATGGGTTATGGTCATGTTGTGGAAGTGAAAGGATTTTTGTGTTTACAACAAACCACATTGAGAAACTTGACCCTGCATTGCTTAGAAGTGGAAGAATGGACATGCATATTTATATGAGTTACTGTTCATTTCCTGCGTTGAAAATTTTGTTGAAAAATTATTTGGGAGTGGAAGAAAGTGATTTGGAAGACGGGGTTTTGAAGGAGTTGGAACAGGTAATTGATGGAGCTGAAATGACCCCAGCTGATGTCAGTGAAGTTTTGATCAAGAATAGGAGGGACAAGAACAGGGCTGTTAGGGAATTGGTAGGAATTTTGAAGGAAAAAGCAGAAAGGAAAGTCAAGAATGGAAATGGGATTAGGGAAAATAATAATTTGAATGATTTTGAAGAGGAAGAGCAAGAGAAAAGAGCTTTAGAGAGTCCTAAAGAAGGTTCTGATTATGAGCAAGAGAATTGCAAGAAAGGAGAAGATGATGAAGAGAAGATAAAGTAATTAAAGAAATTGAGGGTTTTCTATAGCTCTTTTTTTTTCCTCTTAATTAAATCTTTTTTTTGTGTTGAAAGATAAAGATGCAAAAAGAAAGATTGGTTCTTGGGGACTTGGGGGAGTATTGAATCTTGAAAATTTTGGTGGTGGTGGTGGTGGTGTTGGTGTTGGGGGATGCAAGCTTGGAGGGAAGTGAAGTCAAACTGTAATGGATAACATTAGGTCTTCAAATTTTCTTAATGTTTAATATTAATATTATCATATAATATATATATTATTATTTATCTAATGTTAGTTAAAATAATGTAAGGAGCATTATATGATCAACAGATAAGCTTATTTGCATGTGGTGTGGTTGGCCATGTGGGATTTTCTTAAATGCTACTTTAGGGGCTCTATAGAATGACCTAACGATGCTACTACCCCAACAATATCCTATTGAGCCAGTGTCCTAATTTTCATGTTAATTTTGCAGTTACGCACTAATTGTATAATTTAGGGATATAAATGGATTTTTCATTGTTGTATCTTCTTTTTCCTATTTTAACCCTATAGGATTAGATGATTTGAGGGTCCTAATGACTTCCATTAAGGCCTTGTTGTGGAGTAGTAATGGATTACATAGGTGACATAAGATGGGAAAGAAAAGAAGTAAAACGTGATGGCTAAAAGAAGTTCCAAAAACATGCGACTTCTCGAGGCCAGGCATTAGGTAGAATATTTGACAATTGTAATAGTAATGTGTCAGCCTTTTTGTAATTATATATAAAACGCTGATTGGGCTAAAAGAAGTTCCAAAAACATGCCGACTTCTCTGAGGCCAGGGCATTAGCCTAGAAATATTTGACAATTGTAATAGTTAATGTTGTCAGCCTTTTTTGTAATTTTATATATATATATATATAGTATATATATATAACTGCCACATAGCAGGACGCTTCTATATTTTCTATTCAAATAAGTTTTGTTATTAAATTTTTTTCATTAAAACATATATATATATATATATATATATAATGCACATGGGACGTTCTATTTCTATCCAATAGTTTTGTTATTATAATTTTTTTCATAAAAACAACAATTTTTACACCAATTGAAATGATTAGTTTGTTGATAATTAGATTTTGGTTAATGGGTCTTTGATTAAAGTAAGAAAAATGAACCGATCGTCAAAAGTTAATTTTTCGGCGGTTTTATTGATCTTTTCACTTATATATTATTTTGGTTTATTTTCACTTATATATTATTTTGGATTATTGGGTTTTCAATAAGTAAAAAAAATTTTCAGTCCCCATAATAATAATAATAATAATAATGAAGATACTAACTTTGAAAATAAGAGATTTATAAATAAAGAAAAAATTATCATTTATAATTTAATTTGAAGAATTAAATTTTAATCAATAATTTAAAGAATAAGCTAACCTTACAATCGAGCTAATAATAAAACAAAATTTTATTTTTCTAATAATAAAAAGAAGCTATTGTAATTAATGAAATTCAGATTTTGATGATTCAAAAGGTGTTAAATATTAAGAAATTTTCCATATGTATATTGGAAAAAACAGTTGAAAGGGAACATTAATAATTGAGGTAATATAAATCAAAAACAGAGGAAACACATATCATAACTAACGTCTTTTACAAGCATTGGAAAAAGTCTCATAACTTGTCTGAGTTTTTTTAAACTGTTTTGCACCAATTGGTACTTTTGTTTTGTCATTTTCCAATTATTGGCTTCAAGTAAAAACTATTTATTTCCAAAGTGAAGCAAGTGGGAAACTCAAGTGTTGGCTTCATGAGTTACATATACCAAATCAGTTCGCCGGTCGATTTGGGATGTTAAAATCGAAAAATCAAACCGAATCAACTATTTAGTTTTTTTGGCTTTAATAGGTTTAGTTTGTGATTTTAGGTAATTTTGATCTTCAATTTTTGGTTTAATAATAGAAAATAAGTCAAAATTACCTATAATTCAATTCCAACTTATCCATTTGATTTGGTTTTTGATTAAATTATGTATATTATACAATTTTAAAAATATAATTTGATGTTTAGTTTTATCGGTTTAGTTTGATTCAAAATCGAACTCATCCACTCTACATTTCTAGGTTTGATCAAATCAAATTGAGCCAATTTCCTAAATTTAGGTCTGTGTAGTTCAAAATGGTCTATTTCTTAAGAAGTATGCTTCCCAGAAATATACATTTGCAAGAAAATTATTTCTTAAGAAGTGTAATTTGAATGTGTTTAATATACAAATCAATTTATTGAAAGTAAACTGCTTTCAAATTACAAAAAACAACAATGTTTATAGTATAATGTAAATTTAAATTTATTTAAATCGTAAGACGAATTAATAAATTCATTGTACTTAACTAGAGAACTGCAATAATAGGTAATGAAAATTTGTTAAAAAGTGTAGCTAGAGGTTGATATTAACAAGAAAAATAACTAAATAAATAAGAAAATTTAAAATTATGACAAGAGGAAACTTGCTAAATAAATTGCTCCACTTGTTAAATGCAAGTAAACCACTAGCAATTATTTGAAATAGTTGAACAAGACCCTTTCTTTCTTTTTTTTTTTTTTTTTTTTTTTTTTTTCAATTATTGAAGATAGTTGAAACAAGACCCTTTCTTTACTTTTTTTATTTTTTTTTTTTTTTTATTTTTTGGAAAAGGGCAAAAAAAAAGAAAAAAAAAAAAGGAAATGTGAGATAATCGAAGGTGTTTATGAAAAAAAAAAAAAAAAAAAAAAAAGGAATGGTGAGATGAATGGAAGGTTTTATGGATAGGATTAGAAAGGGTAGTTTGGGAATGGAAAAGGGAAGCAAGTGAACAAGGCCAAGATTTCATGTTGGGGAAAAGATGGATAATTGAGGAGCAAAAAGTAAGTTAGAAAGTCTTCTCATACAATGAGGAAAAGAGAGACCATTTTTATGTTGTTTGATTTTGATACTGAGTGAGTTGGAAAGCTATTTGGCTGTCAAGCCCTAGCCTAGATCTTGGCCCACTCTCCTCACAAACAACTGACAACTGACAACCTATACCTCTTTTCCCATTGAAATAAAACATGCCTCTTCTTTTCTCTACCAAAATAATATAACATAAATAAACTTTTTCTTTTCTCTTCATATTGGGTTGTAAAGTATTCATTTTGTAATCTTTATTAGGGTAAAATAACACTTGTGTATTTTTAAATTACATTCAAATTAACACTTAATCCTTTTTATATTTGAGAAATAATTATAACGTTCTTACATTGTGCTTTGTCTCGCTATTGAGTCCTTTTATCTAAAAGGTGAGCTCTTTCTATCCAAAAAATAGCACATTCCGTTTAAAAAGTCTCTAATCAACTGTATAACTCACTTTTTGAAAGAAATGACCTAATAGTAAAATGAAAGTATAAATTATAAACATTATAGTTATTTCTTAACTATAGGGAGATTAAATATTAATTTGAACATAATTGAAGAATTCGGTTATATTTTATTATTTTTATTATTAAAATTTGAAAGTCATTTTTATACCTAATGTTAATTTTTATATGTTAATTTTTTTACTACAATATAATGGAAGCTAATCCACTTTTTAACTTTTTTGGTAAAGTAATTCAATTATCATGGTATGGTAATCGGCAAAGTCACTTGAAGTTAGCTTTCAATTTTTTAAGTAACTTTTAGCATTTTGACTTGTCAAAAAGTTAAATGTTATTTTTTATAATATTCGGTAATATAGTGTTTGAATTAGTTTTTAGAGATTAAGTTAGTCTCTTATAAAAGATTAACTCCCGTAATATTTAATTTTTAGCATTTTTTGAAAAGTTACTCAATCAACTAAACGCTAGTAAAACAACTATAAAACAACTAATTTTGCCGAATATGCTCAAATTCTTGGTTGAAATCCAAAATCAACAAACTTCAGCCACATCTTTAACTATTTCTTCCCCTTAATATATTTACACAATAATTTACTTCTTTAATTATAAATCTTATTTATCTTTGCTCTTAAAAATTATAGGTATTTGATATCCAAATCAATCAAGTTAATAATATTTCTAAATATAATAATTGGATATAAAAAATGTTCTAAAATCACACAAGGATGAAATATAATTTCCATAAACATATTTTAACAAAGGATATCGTTGTATCATGTTCTGTCTGATAAGCTGTAATGAAACACAATATAACGTAATTAAATATACCCATAAGCATCCTTAACCTCTTTCGACTATTTTAGTCAAAGATCTATGTAGTTGGAGAATGTAGGAAGGATGATATGAATTATTATGAGAGAAAATTTGTAGTTGAGATGGGTTGCATTAATTTGTAAATGTGGACCAAATATCGATAGTCCCATATTTGGATCTTGTATCTCCTAGAATGCGATTCTTCAACAATTATGCACTTTCTTTTTCTCTAAAACAGTAAGGGAGACGGCCTTCCTATCTCTTAACTTTTCTAATATTATATATAATATGTTTTTTATATAAGTTTATATATGTATATATATATATTGTTGTTGATTTAAATATTTAGTATTTTTTTTCATATTGAGAAAGGTGTAATCCAGAGTTGTAAGCGTACAGATTTTTTGTCATTTTAGCAAAATTCATTTTCTCTTCGCTTCACTTAAATAATCTAGTGGGTTTTTGGTGTTTATTCTTATGATGAATGAAAGTTAGTTGTTTGCCCTTTGATTGCTTAGAAGAAAAGTATTATACAATTTAAGTGATTTATTATATACAGCATTTTATATGTTGTTGATATGTAAATATTTAGTATTTTTTTTCATAATTAGAAGGTGTAATCCCACGAGTTGTAAAGCGTACAGATTTTTTGTCATTTTAGCAAAATTCATTTCTCGGAGCTCGAACTTAAATATCTAGTGTTTTTGGTGTTTATTCTTTGATGAAATGAAATTGTTGTTTGCCCTTTGATTTTAGAAGAAAAAGTAATTATAAATTTAGTGATTTATTATATACATCATTTTCAAATTGTATTGATATGTCACGTAGTTGATTTAGTGATTTTACAACACAATTTGACTCAAGATTTAATTGATTTAACAAGGGTCTAATGACTAGAGGTGGGTTAGGGTTCTTTGGAGTTGCATAGGTAGTAGAGTGTTAAACATAATTGTGTTTGTTTTCCCTAGTTAACATTCTTTTCATGTAATTAAGTTATTTTTAAATTTCTTCAAAAAGAAGGCAATCATGCATTTTAGTTGGTTATTTTACTCACTTTACTAGACTTAGAAGTGAAATGTCTTAGATTAATTTAAGTTTCTCCATCACTAAAATTATTTACTTATCTATAAGAATTATTAAAATAAAAGTTTTCTTCTTTGTCTTTTTTATAACCAATTAGTAGTATGCATTGCATTGGTTCTGTTTTATGGGAAAAACTTATCCAGATCGGATCCATTACCCAAAGCAAGGACACTATAATTTTTTATTGAAACAATGGTTTTCCTGATTATACATTTAGAAAATAAAGGATAAAGTAGGAACAGCTTTT